CTGTGTTCATGGTGAAAAGCTTTTCAAGCACAGATGTTGTACTAGAAAGACAGTGTATGCACAAATGTAACAAAAAATTACCAAAATGTCACTCAATTAGCTGGTTACAGGGTGAGCTCTAATGACTGGCTTTAGATATATGTGTCATTAGTTTGTGGAAATTGTGACGTAAATCGAGCAACTAGATTCTATTACATGCAATAATTAAATGTTATCTGCTGTCTTCCAAGATCCGAAAATGGTCAGATTAATGGAAGTGATGATCTCCACCTTGAAATAATTACTATAATGAGGACAAGTGGCATGATTTAACCTCACACTATTCAGTTCCGTCAGTGGATAGTTACTTGGGTCAAGTTGTATTTTGAGACAGATGGGATGCATCAAAAGATCAAGTAATGTCAAGGGGAGAACATGGTTTCACCTACTCCTAAGGCAGAAATTCAATGCGATGAAAAACCCACCCATCCCCTCTGAGGTATTTAATCTTTATGGAAAATTGTTTTTTATGTGTATTTCAACAGCGCATTATCTTTTGTTTGGGCATATATTGTAGTCACAGCAAAATAAATGATGAATAAAGCACAGAAATAAAAAAAAAATGTAAAAAAGTTAAGTTGTCAGTTACTATAATGATTCAGTGCCAAGAGGAAAAAAAAAGCGTATATACGCAGTGCAGTGAATTGTCTTTTATACAGTTTGTATCTTTGTGCTATTTTCATATAAACATTGTCATTTTCAAATACATTCACATTCCTATACAATAAAACCTCACAGGATTCTGTGTATTCTTCTTTCAGTTCTAAAACTGTTCCATAGGTCTTTTTCACATAAGCATTGGTTGTGTTGTTGATTGCTGTAATGCATGGAATGAGTAAACATGTTGTATAATTCTTTACAAATGGGATTGCACAACCTGCAGTTTTTCCAGTCAACCATCAGGTTATTCTGAGTAGAAGCTATTTAAAGTTTTTGTACATTTATATATATATATATATATATATATATATATATATATATATAACACTAGCCCTGTAAGAGTTGCTGAGTTTTGGATCCCCTATAGTCCTGCACAGCCAGGCAACACGCATTTTCCATTAAAATTGTCCAAAATGTCTTCCAGTGCCATCAGCACTGGAAATCGCAACCGTACTGAGGATCGCAGTGTTCCTGAGGGCTGCGTTTTGCAAAGAAGTGCAGGGACTTCTCTGCGTGTCCTGGGGCATGGGAGTCCATTCAAATGAATGGGCACTCGTGTCCACACAAAACGTGTCCTGCACGGCCGCAGATATGTAAACCAGGGGTAAGAGATCCTTCACTGGAACAAAGGGGCCAAGCTCATCCCCTGAAAAACAAACCCACACCATAATCCCCCCTCCACCAAACTTTACACTTGGCACAATGCAGTTAGGCAAGTACTGTTCTCCTGGCAACCGCCAAACCCAGACATGTCCATTTGATTGCCAGACAGAGAAGTGTACCTAGAAATTCTGAAGGACCCTCTGCACACTGGTATATACCCTTTCAAGCAGACTATGAAATAAGTAGGGATATTTAGTTCACACATATTGCAATACATGTTTAAGCTGGCCAACTGTGTCAAAGTAATCCCTCTATGGCCAGTCCTACTCTGCCCTGCCTACGTAAATGCTACTATGGACACAATGCCATCATAGGGGAAAAGACACAATGGGGAGAGTTACAAGGTTCTGGTCTGGCTACTGACTCAACAATACAACAAACAAGAGATCCTTGTGCTCAAATCCCAACAGGGACAGTAGCCAGACCTGAACCTTGTAACTCTCCCCATTGTGTCTTTTCCCCTATGCTAGCATTGTGTCCACAGTAGCATTTGCGTAGGCAGAGTAGGACTGGCCATAGAGGGATTACTAGTTGGCCAGCTTAAGCATGTATTGCAATATGTGTGAACTAAATATCCCTATTTATTGCATAGTTTGCTTGTAAGGGTATATACCAGTGTGCAGAGGGTCCTTCAGAATTTCTAGTGTTAATATGTGGTTACACCCCTTTAGCACCTGATGGATAAATGCATGCACTAGCTGTTGGGATTTGAGCACAGGGATCTCTTGTTTGTTAGAGAAGTGTACCTGTCTCCCCATTCAACTCAATGAGAATACAAAAGCAATTTGAAGCTGATTGAAGCAGGTCGCGAGGAGGCCAACAGCAGGTCAAGTGCACCTATCTGTGAACTATGAATGATCCTAGAAGTGTCTTACACTGAATTTAAATGCAGACTGAAAGCACTTAAAAGCTTGCAACATTTGTCCATCAACACCAGGCATAACTGTTTTTTGCAACATTTTCCTATCAACACAAGCCATAACTATGTTTTTTTATTTTTTCTTCATAATAGTTTTCTAATGAAAATTTTCAGATCACAAAGATAAACATAAAAAAATCTGCGTTTTTGTTCCTAATGAATCATTATTTTATACTTTTTCATGAATTAGCCACTCATGATGAAAGCACCACACAGTAAAGAACATAAGTAAAGAACATAAAGCCTGGTACACACAGGTAGTTTTTTTTAGTTTAACACAGTGGGTTGAATGAAAAAAAAAAAACCGTGGAGCTCACTGTAATATGTGATGTTAGTACAGTGATCTTCCTAATGAGCTATTGTGTTCTGACAGGGGACTGTCCCCCTCCCCTCAGTGGTGTATTTAGGTTTTGTGCTGCCCTAGGCAACACAACATTTGCCCCCCCCCCCCTCCCGGAGAGAGAGTCTGACATTGACCAACAACACCCCTACCCCTCCATGCGAGTGAGCCTTCCACTACCATCGCCCCATACACCGGCCACTCCCCTCCCAGCAAGAGAGAGAGAAAGACACTCACCTTTACAGCTCTGGACATCCCCAGGAAGAGAGTCAAGCAGCCTGCAGCCTCTCTCAGATCCCACCTGGTTCCCAAGCCGTATGTGTCCCTTCTTTCATCCCTTCTTCCAGGGGGGCGGTGTTGCCCCCCTGAAAAATGCCGCCATAGTCAAATGCCTTGTTTGCCTTGTGGTAAATAAGCCCCTGCTTCCCCTTCCCACATAACACACTGGTCAGTGCTCGCAGTCATTGGCTGTAAGTGATGATCAGATGCTGATTGGCTGCTGGTCTTCCACCATGCCCATTCAACAGAAGCCAGAAATTAGGCAGGCTTCTGTCAGACAAGCTGCTGTACACACTGGCAGAATGTCGGCCAGTTTCTGTTGAACCGGCTGATAACAAACGATATTCAGCTCGTGTGTACCAGCCTTAAGACACGCATAAGACTTTGTGAATTTATTTTCCAGCATAGTTAAGTGTATCAAAAGTCTGTGTAATCAATGACTCAATCACTAATTAATTTGTCATTTGAGTTAATTATTGTACTTAAAGCTATAAAACAGTGTTAAAAACTCAATCAGTTCAGCTTCACAGTGTGTTTACATTGAGCAGTTTAACAGCACTTTAAACAGATGTTTGCAAACTGCAATTACAATCTTCTATAAATTTGCCAGTCAAACAGAAGCAGATTTGGGAAACTGTGCAAGTGGCACAAATATAGAATAAGTATTTTTAATAGGTGCAGTGTCAGCTACTGAATATATTTTGATGTTCACTCAGATAGAAACATAGAAGAATGATGGCATATAAAAAACTAAGTGGTCCATCAAGTCTGATCATTTTTAAAATTTTGTTTTGTCTGCATATAGATCTCAATGTGTCTCAACCATGTTTGAATGACTGACTCACTACCTCTGCTAGAAGTCTACTCCAGGAATCAACTACACTTTTAGTAAAATAATACTTTATAAAACTACCTTTGAACTTTCCTCCTGCTCATTGGAGGTCATGTCCTCATATTCTTCTTAGCTTCATACTGAACATAATGTCCTCATGAACTATGCCCACACCCTTAATATATTTAAAGGTTTTGATCATGTCTACCCTTTCCTTTCTTTCATGAAGATTGTACAAAATAAGTCTTTGAAGTCTCTCCTGATAAGTTTTGTCCCCCCAGGCCTTTCACCATTTTTGTTGCTCATCTGTGGACTAGTTCTATCTTATCAATAGCTTTCTGTAAGTGAGGTCTCCAGAACTGGATATAATATTCTAAAGGAGGTCTAATTAAAGATTTATATAAGGGAATAAGGACCTCCTGCTGGTGATCCCTTTAGTAAAACACCCTAGAATCCTATTCACTTTCCCCACTGCCATATTGATTGCTCATTTTGCAGTCATCTGAAATAAGTCCCCAAAATCCCTTTCCTTTGTAGTGCTGTCCAACAGTGTACCCCCAATTCTAAATTATATCAAGGGATTCTTTTTCCCTAGGTGCATTATTTTACATTTAGAAACATTGAATTGCAGCTTCCACTCCTCTGACCAATCTCTTAACAATGCTAAATCATGTTCCATGTTACAGACACCTTCATTAATATTAAGCCTATTGCATACATTTGTGTCATCAAACTTACAAACCGATTAAAAATAACAGGGCCTAGTACATAGCCTTGTGGTACATCACTAGTGACTGGTCTCTGTTCTGAATGAACCCCATTTGTAGTAACACTCTTATATCTATCCTTTAGCCGACTGCATATCCACTAAACCACCCAAGGGATGAGGTCTACATTCATTGAGGTATACATTCCAAATGTATTAGGTATTGCCCAAAAAGCCAGTGAATAAAAAATAAAATATTTGTGGTATTTCAATAAAAGAAATGTTTAAGACTTGTTATCGGGCGGAAGGAAAAGTAGATATGTCTAATTTGCATTTTGAATCCCAATTTACCACTGTGAAGTGAGGTTAAAAGGAGTGAGCCTTTGTGCACTTTAAATAATTATTAATGTGAATAAAAATACAAAACTAAATGTTTGAAGTGTACTGCAATTTACTGAACCTCATGTGATAGTATGATCCATGTACACAGGAACAAATACTGTATTTCCCATAGGTGGAAAATGAGGGGCCATGATACAAGCAGGGGCGGACTGACAACTCATGGGGCCCCCGGGCAGTAGGGGATGATGGGGCCCCTGTGTCCTTGCCCAAACTCAAAAAAGCCTATGAAAAAGGTACCAGGGGCATCTCATGGCCCTGGGCCCTCGGGCAGTGCCTGAGTTTCCAAATGGTCAGTCCGCCCTTGGATACAAGATATTTACAGTATACGAGCTATAGAATTGTTGCCCTTAATATTTTTGTTTCTAGGAAAAACTGTATTGCAATACATTACATTAATGCATATTGCATCAATGAAAAGTACAGGTTAATAACATTTATGGTTCCTTTCCCCCCACCATAATGTGTAGATGACGTTTTGTTCTGTCATTTTCATTGGAAATCTTTCTGCAATTAGGTAAAAGGTCACATATGCTGGATGTTGGAGGGGATTCTGCAAAGGCAGTAGGAGACAGAAGACTCTTTTTCTGCTGGGGAGAAACAGCAATGCCATGTGAGCAACAAATGCAGGTTCCATCTTCTGAGGGAATTTGAGTATGAATCCATGTTACCCCAGGGAATTAAAAACACTGTGAGGGACATTTTATGAGAAGATACCAGGTAACAAGGCTTGTATCAATCAGAGGCTGACAATGTCTTTAGTATTCAAGCTTGTGCCTGATCCTGTGATCAAGGCCTATTACTTTGCATTGAGAAGTTTTAGTAACCTTTTCAAGCATATAGTAGGGGTGTGTGTAATAAAATTAGGTGAGAAATGAAGTGATATCAGTTGAAGTAATGGAAGGTGACCAAAAATGCAGTGTAAAGTTGCCAGCAAAAAAATAGTGAGAACTCCAGGAATATGAGGTGGGAGACCTTCAGAGTTATTCTGAGAGCAAGAGGTATATGCTCGCTGGTTTTCGTAGGGGTTGGAACCTAATCTCAAAGAGCCTATGGAGTGATGCAGAAGAAATGGGACACTGGCTAACTGTGAATCTTAAGATATTGGGGTGGTCTCCAGAACTATCATTGCAAAAAAAAGTGACTGAAGAATATTTTTTAATAGAAATATGTGGCCTGCTGCCACACATAAATCTATCCTCCCACCCAGCTCCAAATAACCACTGCCTTTAAAAAAAGCTACGTAAATTTGCTTGTCATTCACTTAAATCTGCTGGTATGTGATGCCCTAGTGTTAATTCTTCTCTCCTATTGTGGCCACATGAGACAGGGTTCTTCTTTCTAATGCCTGTCCAGTGAAGGGGTACAGAAAAGGTGACCCCTGGGGACCAGCAAGCATGAACATCTGCAGCTTCGGATTACTGGTCCTTCTTACCCCGAAAGAGTTTCTCTTTTAGAAGTATTTAAAAATGAAAGTGAGGGGTGGGAGGTAGGTTTTTATGGCCCTAAAATAAGTTTTAAGGCCCTGTAGACTTGGCCTTAAAAGATTGTCCACCATTTCAGAGCAGGGCTGCTGTTAGAAACCACAGGACCCCATACAACCAACCTGACAGCCCCCGCCCCAAAAAAATCCCACAGTTTACTATGCTTCAGTTATGAATGAACACAGTGAGTGACCAGTAATGATCACTCTGTGTTCATTCAGGAAAGGAAGGATCTGGTAAATGTGACATATTTACTGGATCTTCCCCCCACTCTCTATCCTATTCTATTGTGTGCTTGCAACTGCCAGTGGGAAGGAAAGGAAGGAAGCCAGCAACACTGTACGGGCCTGGGCAGCAGGGGGTAATATATGGTTCACAGGGAGGGTGATGGGTGTGGTGGGGGGCACAATTACTGGAACCAATCCCCTGTATGGCTCACTGCAGCAGTTGAAATCCAGCAGGAGGGAGAGGAGAAGAAGCTAGCTTCCAGCTGCTCCAGAGAGAGCCATAGAGGGGATAGGTCCCAGTTATTGCACCCCATCATGCTGATCACCCTCCCTGCCCACAACCAGCTGCCTGGGCTACCCTGATGGCCTGGACCTCGTTCAGAAGGACTGGTGGTACACCCTTATCTATGGCTCTGGCCTAGAGACTGGTGGTTATTGTTTAGCCAATACGTAGTCCATTAAAAGGTTTATACATTTAAAAAATGCTGTCTGAATGCCTCAGAATTCACCAAAGGTCATGAATAGTACCTGTCATGTTTTTAATGTGTGTGAAATGTCACTTTCTATTTGTCCCTTTGGAACAGGACAAATGTAAGATTCCATAGCATTTGTTTCTAAAAGAAAAAAAGCCTTAAGAACTGTAAGAAAAAAAAAATCAATAACATTCAACCGATAAAGAAAATAGCCAACTATTAAGAAATTTTGAACAAAAGAGGAAATAATATGAGGAAGATACTCTGCACTGTAGACTAAGGGGTTGGTTTATAAAGAATTTGAATAGCCGTTAATTCAATGAAAGTGCTTGTACATTAATTTGGGCACATGGAGCAAAAACACGAATTTAAATTGGCTATATTTTGTGTTTTGAGTGTAAATTGATTTAAAACAGAAAATACCCCATTTGGCCACTAGATAGAGGCAAGTATTAGTGTTTGAAGATTCATGTGCTACTACTGACAGTGTAACAAATCTGCTAGTACAGAGACTAAACTGTTAAGGCTCATGTACACTGCATCTGCTAAACTGAAGTTTAGGAGCAGTTGTGCATTTTTTTCAGCAGCCCCTGTACACTCCTTTATGTTTTCCTATGTGTTCATGTACACATTAGTTTACAGTAGTTACAGGCATTTTTTTAAAGCACAAAAATTGCATTCTGGAGTAAAGTTTACCAGCGTTTCAAGCGCCAAATGCTTGTAACCGCGTGTAAACGTTTTTATGCATGTTTGCATTTAGACACATTTTTGGGCTGGTCCATATCCAGATGCTGTCCAGTGCCTTTGTTTTCTTCATCATAAATGCATGCACAGCATTTTCCATGTATTCAAATAGACCTAGTACACCAGTGCAGTCCAGTTCCAGGTTTCGCGTGCAGGAAAAAAATGGTAGAACGTACTGCATTATTTCTGCACAGAATTGTACTGGAACATATCAAAACACAGAAAAAAAGCACAAGGAGTGTTGTGTGCACTGCAGAATGCATCCGGAGGCATTACAGCACTATGTAGCTCTTCCCACAGTGCCAAACATGGTTCACAAGCCACTTTTGCTACAGTTGCAACACCCATCAGAAAGTAGTGCTCTCTTTGCTTCTGCTCTCTATATTTCTCACAAAATGTCTGAAATAGTTAATTATTTACTATTTTTCAGGGCATTTGGGAGGGTCTCCTGAGGTTATGTTTCAAAATGCTTCAAACCGCAAACACGCATAAACGCGGCTAAACTGATGGTTTTACCTACGTTTTCCAGCAGTCAGTTTCCAGTGTTCAGAATAGTTTTTCAAACACCCTGTGTACATGAGCCCTTAAACAGGATTGATACACTGTTGCAGAGGCAGAATGTAGTTGTTTGACTGGTTTAGGAGACGAAAACCCTTGACAGATTAGCAAGAGATCGCCTAAGGTAAACAACAGAGTTCTGTCTGTACAGTATTGTATCTACTCTATATAGCAGTTCATTCTCAGCAGTAGCTGATTCATTACTCTTTCAGTGACGAGCATATCTGTTTTTCAGAAGAACCTGATTGGATGGTCCATTCACTCTTATGGACAGGAGGGTGTAAACGGACTTGTGTCCATTTAAACCCACCTACCTTAGGATCCGACCTGGTCCACGACAAAAATGAAGAGAATGTGTCCTCTTCCACTAAGATTGATCAGATCAGAGGGTAGTTGGGTGCACATGGACAGTGAAGTCCATTTACTCCCTGACACCCAGAGAGCAGAGCTGTCTCTGACTGTGTCCAATCTGCATAAACTGAGTGGAAGTGGATGTGTCTTCTACATGCTCTGCTGTCAGCAGATCACCTGCTGAGTCTACACCATGTGAAATGCTTTTCAGTATCACCAGAAGTTCCCCTTTAGAAAAGATTTTGTTGTATTGTTGATGAATCTTTTGTGAAATATTTGGACAAACTGGCCTCATACATTAAAATGGTGGAAAAGAAAGATGGACATATTATAACTCTTATATGTAATTCATTGAAAAAGATTTAAAAATATGTTTATGTAATGTTAAAATAAATTTAAAAAAATAATTTTTTATTATATTACTTTGTTTCATGTCTTTTTTCCAAATTCAAACAAAAAAAAACTTAATGGATTGAGATCTTAGTTTAGAGAAATAAGTTACATCATCAAAGATGAACCCTTTCTATCCAGAAATATTTGTAAATATCTTGTAGCCTATAGCCTATAATGATGGACCACACATTACGTTAGTATTAATCACCATAATCAACATTAAAGACAATGAATGTGATTATCTGCATATGTTCTCACAACAATAAATAAGAATTTGAGGACCCTTTCTCTCTAATCTCTTGACACAAAAAACTTTATTTGTGGTACTTTTAGCTTTATGTTTGTTTTAAAAAATCATCCATATATTAACCTCAATAGCACCCTAGCGTAAAAGTCATTTTAACAGGTTTCACTGTACAATGTCTTGTAAAGTAGAATTTTGCAATCAGATGACCTGTAATTGTGTGCATCGTTATGCCAAGTTGAAACTTAAAGTAAAGGCAGCCTTCTGCAAGCAATTATCTGTGTGAAGTTTAGGCAATGTCAGGAAAAATAACATCTGTTCTGATTTTAGATAATGCCTTGATAGTCACCCTACAAACAGAATAGAAAGATGTAGGTTCAGAATTTTTAACTAACTCTGCAAATGATCATTACAAGTAAAAAGACTTGGTAGATCAATAGCTGTTTAATAAAAGCTGTCATTTCCGGAGTCACTCTTTATTGTATCCTGATCATCTGGTCTACAGGCTATGTTTTGTCATAGAACCAGTGAACACAGAGAAAAAAAAATCAGTTCAATTAATAATATAACATATACATGCCATATTGTGATTTAATATTATTAAAAACTACCTTTGCCTTAAATCTGCAGCCGCTGTAAATGTCTGTAAAATTCAATGCAATATGGCAACCTGGAGATGTTCTGTACACGGACCATTCCCAGAAATGTAATTTCCTGCTTTTGTGATTGGCTCCTTAATTTTCCCAGAAGTCTGCGCTGATACTTGTCAAAATTTAGGCCTCCACTTAAATAGAAATTTTATTTTTGGTGAGATACTAAGGGTTAAAAAGACCCTGAAACTTTCCTCATTAGAAGACTACAAGCGCATCGGCTGAATATACTGACACTCCTATTCAGAAACGAAACTTCCAGAGACACAGCAGAACATATAGATTTAAATCCTTAAAATGTACAGTGGGGATCGAAAGTTTGGGCACCCCAGCTAAAAATTTGTATTAATGTGCATAAAGAAGCCAAGGAAAGATGGAAAAATCTCCAAAAGGCATCAAATTACAGATTAGACATTCTTATAATATATCAACAAAAGTTAGATTTTATTTCCATCATTTACACTTTCAAAAAACAGAAAACAAAAAAATGGCGTCTGCAAAAGTTTGGGCACCCTGCAGAATTTATAGCATGCACTGCCCCCTTTGCAAAGCTGAGACCTGCCAGTGTCATGGATTGTTCTCAATCATCGTCTGGGAAGACCAGGTGATGTCAATCTCAAAGGTTTTTAAATGTCCAGACTCATCTGACCTTGCCCCAACAATCAGCACCATGGGTTCTTCTAAGCAGTTGTCTAGAAAACTGAAACTGAAAATAGTAGACGCTCACAAAGCTGGAGAAGGCTATAAGAAGTTAGCAAAGCGTTTTCAGATGTCAATATCCTCTGTTCGGAATGTAATTAAGAAATGGCAGTCATCAGAAAACAGTGGAAGTTAAAGCAACATCTGGAAGACCAAGAAAAATATCAGACAGAACAGCTCGCAGGATTGTGAGAAAAACAATTCAAAACCTACGTTTGACTGCATGATCCCTCCAGAAAGATCTGGCAGACACTGGAGTTGTGGTACACTATTCCACTATAAAGAGATACTTGTACAAATATGGTCTTCATGGAAGAGTCATCAGAAGAAAACCTCTTCTACGTCCTCACCACAAAAATCATCGTTTGAACCTTGCAAATGAACATATAGACAAGCCTGATGCATTTTGGAAACAAGTTCTGTGGACCGATGAGGTTAAAATTGAACTTTTTGGCCGGAATGAGCAAAGGTACGTTTGGAGAAGAAGGGGCACAGAATTTAATGAAAAGAACCTCTGTCCAACTGTTAAGCATGGGGTTGGATCAATCATGCTTTGGGGTTGTGTTGCAGCCAGTGGCACAGGGAACATCTCACGAGTAGAAGGAAAAATGGATTCAATAAAATTTCAGCAAATTTTGGATGAGAACTTGATGCCATCTGTGAAAAAGCTGAAGTTAAAGAGAGGATGGCTTCTACAAATGGATAATGATCCTAAACACACCTCGAAATCCACGGGGGATTACATCAAGAGGCGTAAACTGAAGGTTTTGCCGGCCTTCACAATCTCCTGACCTCAACATCATTGAAAATCTATGGATAGACCTTAAAAGAGCAGTGCGTGACAGACAGCCCAAAAATCTCAAAGAACTGGAAGACTTTTGTAAGGAAGAATGGGCAAAGATACCTCAAACAAGAATTGAAAGACTCTTGGCTGGCTACAAAAAGCGTTTACAAGCTGTGATACTTGCCAAAGGGGGCAGTACAAGATATTAACTCTGCAGGGTGCCCAAACTTTTGCAGACGCCATTTTTTTGTTTTCTGTTATTTTGAAAGTGTAAATGATGGAAATAAAAATCAAACTTTTGTTGACATATTATAAGAATGTCGAATCTGTAATTTGATGCCTTTTGGAGATTTTTCCATCTTTCCTTGGCTTCTTTATGCACATTAATACAATTTTTTAGCTGGGGTGCCCAAAGTTTCGATCTCCACTGTACATGCTGTAGATCATCCAGAGGAGATTTTTTTTCACAGCAAAAATGTACGTAAGTTAAGTAAAATTTCCATCCCTCATCCTAATTTAGTTGCTCACCTCTAAACAATCTCTAAAAAACCACTATATACATGTTATAATGTGGTTCCCAAAAGAGAACCCCAAAATCTAGATGTGACTTTACAATATTCAATTGGAATGATATATTTTTTATTCCTTTCCACTTGACCTTGAGTGGTGCTATTTAGCCTATTGATAACCAACATGGCCAGGTTCTTCTCTATCTCCATTTTGACCAGCTGTATTCCATTTGATGTGGGAGTTAATGCTATTCCCCTAGCCTATGTTCATAAACTTATATTCTTCATCGTTGTATTTAATTTGAAAATTAGCTTCTTTTGACCAATAGTAGAATACCATTGCAATTCCCTCCATCTCCCTTATTATACTCTTTATTCCAAAAATACTTTTATTAGAAGAAAAACGCAAATCAAAACATATACAACTATGGATCACAGTCTGAATATAAACACAGCACATTTTCTCCCGTTTCGCAGACGGGCCACGGATTTAAACTGCAACACAGATTAAGATGGAATATAACATTATATCAAGTGTATATTGGAAACCAGCAGATACCAAGAGTATAGTAGACAAGTCGGTATAGATATATTGTATACTGGCCTATATATTGGTAAGCTCTTGTGTTAAGGGAGTGTGGAGTGCTAGATAAGGATAGCACATGATGGTGCGTATGTTATGGTTTGTGTGTCTATATCAGGAGCGTGAGTTACGTGAAAATAGTCACACCTGTATGAAGATAAATATTCTATTTTGTTGGGGATAAATAATAAGAGCATATAAAAAGTGTGAGATAAAGAGAAGTCAGAAAGGAAAATAGTTAGAGAAAGATATGTAGGGTGATATAGTGTGTGTGTGTGTGTGTGGGGGGGGGGGGGGGGTATGGGGGAAAGAAAGAGGAAGAAAAAAAAAGAGGGGGGTGGGGGGGAAGGAGGGGTGAGGATGGATAATGGGTGGAGGGGATGTAGAATGGGTAATTAGGGATGAAATAGATCACATCATTTTGTACGAGTTGAGCCAATTACACTCTTTATTGAAGAGATGCTGGGGTAGATTTCCTAAAACTGGTTCACTCAGAATCTGGTGCAGGTGCGCATGGTAGCCAATTATTTTCTAACCTCAGCTTGTTCAGTTAAGCGTTGGCAATAAAAGTTGGAAGCTGATTGGTTTCTATGCAGAAGTGCACCTAATTTTGCACTCTCCAGCTTTAGTAAATAAAACTCCACTGTTTGATATTAGGTCCATTAATGTGTGCTGTTGAGAATTCAGCCTGTCATTCATCGTTGCTACTTTGGGGTTGACTTACTAAAACTGAAGAGTGCAATCTGGTGCAGCTGTGCATGGTAGCCAATCAGCTTCTAACTTCAGCTTGTTCA